GGGGCTCCACAAAATACTAAACTTGTATGTTTTGCTGTGTCTGTTCTGTTACTCTGGAATGCAGTCTGGGTTTAAGTTTGCTTCCAGAAGTCAGTTTAGATTTTTTTTTCCTGTATGTTTTCCTTGTTTTCTAGCCAGCCAACTCAGATATTTCTAAAGAAATTACTTTAGGAGCCTCCTTTGTGTGAAAGGAGGTTCTTCAGTTAATCTGTTCACGTGCTGAGGCCCTAGCAGCTGTTCTGCTGGGCAAGTGAGTTCTGGGTCTGGGCCAGCATAGTGCTTGAGCATAGTGGCATAAGCCTGTCCTCAAGGAACATGTCTGTGGTGACACTGAACCTGCTTGTGCTCCTCTAGGGACAGGGATGGAGATGTAGATTAAAGCTCCTTGAAATGGTCTCTGACCTCCCCTGCAGCCTGGAGGAGGGCACAGTGTGGCACTGTGGTCACGTTAGGATAGACTTGGCTGCCATGTCACTCTTAGGTAGAAGAGCTAAAGGCAGAGGATGTAAGACTTCCATGGGTGGCAAAGCAGTGAAGGTTATACACTGATGTATGCAGTCAGTCGTTTAGATCTTAATTTGTGGTCAGAGAAAGCTTTTACCATGTTGGCAAGTACCTCAAACAGAAAGGTATTCACTTACGGTCCTACTAACTGGCCAGGGCACTGTAGTCCTGATCTTAAACTCTGGCACTGACTCTGTCTGACTTAGAACAAGTGTCAGAAATACTAATTTAAATGAAGCAAGGTGTTTAGAATAGAACTTGGTTGGGTTTCTGTCTTTTTCTGGATTAAATGTTTTTGATTTTATCAATGTAGTATGTGATAGGGCTGTAGCTGACACTGTTGTTTGTCCTCTGCCCGCGGTGTGAAGACATGTCACTACAGATCCTGAACTGGACTTTACATCTGTCGAGTGGGACAGGAGCAGACAAATGTTACTGATGAAGTGCAGAGGAAATGAGGAAGAAGCTAGAAAAAAGATGATGATGTTAGTGGTAGTCAAAGGAGAAACTGCCAAAAGAAATATTCTGTCAAGTAGCACTTATAGCCTAGGAAATGTCTTGGGATCATGTATTTCAGGTATTTGGGAATGTATGCAAGTCTACAGCTGAAGCTTTGGTGTGTAGCATTCACCAACATGTTTGTTTTAAATTCTAACTTACAAATTATAGCTGGGAAGGATTTGGGGGCTATTTGCAATGCTGAAATTCTGGATGTTATTTAAATCCAGAGCTGGCCTGTAACTTCAGCTGGAGGGTGGAAACCCTTGTATTTACTTGCCTCCACTGGGCTGAAACCAAAAATTTAAACATGTGGAAAAAATTCAAATAAGCAACTAGTGACTCTTTGAAACATAAAGTGTATATTTAGTAAATACAAATGGAGATTATAGATGCAGCAAGGATGAATATATATTTTGGCATGTGCCACTCCTTTAACTTGCCCATAGTGGTGTGCTTTCACTGCGCTGGCCTGCCTTTCATTGCGTGCTCTTCAAGCTTTGTGTAAAGATAAAAGGAAGCACGTTTATGCAGCCCATCTCTGGACTGCAGCTTATAGCAGCTCCCTGTTGATAGCGTCTGACTTCTCTCTCACCTTAAAACTTAAATGTCAGTGCAAAAGAAAGTAATCCAGTGGCTTTCCAGCTTGTGGAATGTTGATGAGCTTACGAAGAATAAATAAGCTGCATAAGAACTGTGAAACTTCACCGGGCTTCTCCATCTTTCCATGTAAGATGCCTTCACTAAGGGTAATTGTTTTTATTAATTTATGGAGCGGGGCTCCTGAGCTTGTAAGCGAGTCCAGCTAATGGAGGAATTCCCTTATGTGTATTAAAGGCACCGTAACCAAGGGGGAGAAGATGATAAACTGAAAGCAGACTTTTCACGTTCTCCTTGCCAAAAGACTTGAGTGATTGCAACAATGATTTAGGGATTAATATTACCTTAAATAGAGAAAGACTCCAGAGCAGTATTCGCTATAGTAGTGTCATTGTTCCCCAGCACCGCAAGCAGAAACTCCTGTGAAGGTCAGGTGATCGTGTTTGAAACGCACACACTTGTCATCCTAAAATGTATAGGAAGGGATTGTGGTGGTGTGTTGCCCAGCTGCAAGTGGTGCAGGTGGTGTGGGGATGGGGTTTTTTGTTGGGTTTTGTTTAGGGATTTTTCCCCTCTGCAAAAGGGCTTGTGTCCTTGGCAGGCTTTTCCATCTCTGGACTTGATTGCCTCAGCAGTCTTAGAAAGAGGAAACCTAGAAAACTTGTTGCATAATATTTTGGAGAAATTGAATGGTTGATGAGACTACTGGGCTTGGCTTCTCATTTCCCTTCTAGGAGGTGGGTGGAAAGAGCCTTGATTTTGCTAGTGATTAAGGGAGTGGTGTAACACAAGAGCATGTTCAAGTTACTATCTTCATAGAAGAAACTTACTTCTAATTATTTCATGCAGGCAGTGGCCAACTGCGGTGGAGCCAGCTGAGTGAGGCTTAGGTCTTCCGATTCATCATAGAAACTCAATGGTTCCTAGAAGAGCAGATTTGACAACCTTGTCTGTAATGGGTGACCCTAGAGAGTGGTCCAGTGTGTTTTGTACCAGCTGGCATCCGAGACACCTGCTCTAGCCTTCTAGTATTTTATAGTTTAGCAGGGCAACTGCTTTGAAGTGTTAGATCTTACACGTATGGCTTTCATAAAGGAGACAGCAGCAGGCAGGCCTGGGTATTCAAACGCGGTGGCATCACGCAGCATCGCTGCGCTAAGCATGTGCGTGCTCCTCTAATTTGTCTGGACTTGGCGTCAGTTTAGAACCAGTAGGTTGGCAGTGGTTTGCATCTGCTGGAATTGCACACCTGTTAGTCTTTTTAGCAGTTCTGCCATAAGCTCCTTGACCTCTACAAAGCTATTTTATGCCGGTGTATGGTCTTGGGTGTGCGGGTACCTTCCCACTGTTGCAGGACAGCATTCGGAAGTAAAGGTACAGCCTCATGGAGTATTTCAGGATATGCTCTGCCATCCCTTAATTCTTTAAATGCTGACTCTATAGCAGCAGTAGGGTCCATTTCTGCCCAGATTGATAAATACTGCATCTGCTACATCTAGTTTTTGTAATCAGCCCTGACTGAATAAGGCCTGCGAGCTGTGGTTGATGTGCTTCCCTGTGGCAAATAGTCCCAGTGCAATTTGGGAAGACTCCTTCAAAACCAGCAGCTATTTCAGGCACATTAGTTTTGTCCAGTGCCCGGAGGTAAACCACAACACTAATTGCCTCGCAAACCTCTCCTGTAGTGGCTGTGACAGCAGATGTGACAGCGCAGCTCCATGGGAGGGAAGAAATAGCTCATAAGAAGCTTGTTAAACGGAGGAGCTTGGGCATCTGCTCGTTCTGAATTGAGGTGTGGCCGATGCTGGATCGGGGAACTTAGTCTTGTTCCCTTTTTTGAGGGAGGAACTGTGTTCCATGTCTTTGTACCTAGTTTGGCACTCTCACTTGGTGTGTAGTTTTGTTTTGTTTTTTAAACAAACAAAAACCAAAAAGGGTGGAGGGAATCATAAAAATGCCCTGGAGATTACAGAACGTGCTGCAGTTCTTGGCCCTTGGACACATAATAAGGAAAATATGAAGAATCCCTCTGAGGTTATTATGGTTTTCTTTTTTCTGACCTCTCTCTGTGAAAACTATTGCCCTTGTTGGATATAAACTTGCTGCTTCAGGTGGTCTACTAATACTGATTCATGGGTGTGAAATAAGTTTATTCCAAATTCTCCCTTTTATTTAAAATTTGGTACACTTTACTGCTTTATTACATGTACGGAGTCAGTAACTTTGACTTCTGCAGGATAGGGAAATGAAACTTGAAGCTGGAGAGGGATAGGGAGTAACTTCAGAGTGCGTGCTTTATCTTCCAAATCAGAACCCTGAATTTCTAGATATACTGATAGCAACACCATGTTTTAGTTGCCTAATGTGTTTTTTTATAAATATCACTTTCTCTTTCTTTAATGAAACATAGGACTTAAATTCTCTTCCTTGTGGTCTTCGCAAGTCAGATTCTGTACATGATTTTATTTACACATTTGTGTGTTCACGTAAGTGAATTTCTCTTCCATCTTTCAAAGATTGTTAAAGGCCACAGAGGATTCGAGACCTAATTTAGAATTTATGAAGAAATTAATTCCTCAAAGTCTGTTCTTGCGTTCCTGGATAACACCTTTTGAGTCATGAATACAGGCAAAAGAAAAGACAAGAGCAGTTTTGCAGGCTGTGCTTTTTCCTTTTTAAATCTTCAGAGAAGCAAGGTAAAGGGACAACTTGTAGTTGGAACAGCATCTTCTGGGGGCTTGTTCTGTGGTGAGATGTTCTACTGTCTGCAAATAAGCACTCTTCTGCTGGAAAACTTCACGTTTGATTGTGTGCTCCATTGAGGATCCTATGCCTGTTGGGTGGTTTGAAATTTTTGGGGGGGGTTGTTTGGTTTTTTGTTTTGTGTGAGTGGGGTTTGGGGGATGGTGGTGGAGGGGAGAGATTGCTTAGCTTGGGTGCGTGTCCTAAAATAAGGGAGAAACCACTTATCGAGAAATGAGCAGCTTGACTTAGACGAAACACTGTGAGAAAAGAGTGAATCTTGTGTCACAGGTACCTCTGGTGGGACAGATTGCTAGGATTTTAACCTTCTTAGAGGAACATGGTGGTTTTAATTTTATTGCTACATCAAGGTAGCTAGTTATACAGTGGTGCCATTGATGCAGAGCAACTGAGTCTACTGTGTAGGTATATCCTGAGAGGACAGTTTACTGACGTCTATTCGAAATGCAAAGGAGACGTGCAGAGCTGTTCAGCGTCTCTGCTCTAGGGGCCAGCAGTCTTTCAGCGTGGTGCCAGATCTAAATGACTAAATCAAGATACTCTTCCTGTAGCCACCTGCACGATGGCAAGGTTGTGGTATATGACCATAGGTTATACATCATATACACAGCTGGTAAAATGTGTTAGAACTGGTGATGTGTTCCTCTCGATACGGCAGGCCCAACCACCTTGGTGGGCTGCGCTGGGGAGGCCCCGGGCTCGTGCCGCCATCCACAGCTCTGTTGATGAGCTGTGCTGGGAAGCCCGTGTCGGTGCTGTTCAACCAGAAAGCTAGCGTGGACATGTGGGCGTCAGCGGAGCGCGGTCAGGACACAGTACCACAGCCAGCCCTCATCGGCAACTCCCAGTTGAAACTGGACGAGAACAAATGCAACCGCATTAATAAAACCCTATCTGCAAGAACAGAGTTAGTGTGTTCTGCACTGACAGTGATGTGTCTGGAGAAGGTTAGTGGGCTAGTGCTGGAATTTCAGGTTTGGTTTGGGTTTTTTTTCTTGTTTGCCCTATCATGACATCTGTTACCTTGACTTTAGTAAGTTTAGAGGAACAGAGTGGTGTCTTGTTGGTACTTTTGAATTTGTGTGATGGGAAAGATGCTTCAAGGAGAACTATTAATTTTCACATGAATAAGGAGATGCACTCTAGGTGATACCTTAATGCAAGAACATGCCCCCCTCTTTTTTTGCTTCTTAGGAGCTAATATGTAGTCTTAAAGCGTTCCTATTTCTGTACTGGCTTACAGAACTGAATAACGTATGCAGGTAGTACTCCTTCAGTTACTGTGGCATCCACCTGAGTGCATACATGCCCATGTGCTTGATTTCTGAACAGTCAGGGTAGTCTGCCTCCCCAGTACCTGCTGCATGGAGCACAGAGGGGGACAAATTTGATAAGAGTTTGGATTTGTCATGCCAATGTACTTTAGTTTTGGGTGAAGATAACTTTGCTATGACTGCATGCAAGCTAAAAATTCATCCTTTGAAATCTAAACTTGTCTTCAGATAGTATTGTTACCCCAGTCAGTATTCAATACTAGGTCACCCAGTCTCTAGAAATACGCACCAGAATGCACATTGCTCTGTGGTTCGGGCGATAAGTAACACTGGTAGTATCTGGTGGAGCCTGGTGCTTAGGCAATGACTGACGAAGGTGTTCTGTGACTTCTTCTGCTTTCAGGAGTTGTCTTTTTGGAGGATGTGTGTGCTTAAAATCATTAAAACCAGGAGGGAAATCCTGGGAACAAGGATGATCCACTAAACTTTATTCAGCTTAGAAATTAAGTGCCACTTGTGCTGTTGCTAGAAACTGTTATAAAACTGCTAGAGAATTCTAGAAACAGCTGGGAAAATCCTGGCACTTACTAGAAATTACTGGCTCTGGGTGTGGGGGAGGAAATCCTGGAAACTTCTGAGAATTCCAAAAAACTTCTGAACCCAACCAGAAACTTAGCAGTTACTAGGGACCTTAAAAGCTGCTAGAAACTGAAAGCTTCTAGGGAATCCTGCTGGGAAGTGGCAGGAGTTACCATAAATCTCTAGAAAATGCTAGAAATTCTGTGTGAATCCAGTAAATTCAGTGAGTCTGCTAGTAATTTCTACATTTTAGGAGTGTTTACTAGGAATAGGAAAGCTGCTACCTGCTGTGTCTTTGGATGAGGTGGCAAACAGTTGTACACGGATGAAACCTCATCTTCCTTATCAAGTGTACAGTCTTTGCATCTTACTTCATGAGTGTCCTGTATGTGCTTGTCTTACAAACTTGTCTTATTTTCTGCAGTCCTACTTTGTTACGGATTATGATCCGACGATTGAAGACTCCTACACCAAGCAATGTGTGATAGATGAGAGAGCTGCGCGCTTGGACAGTAAGTAGCCCAACTAAAGCGTGGTACTAACAGCCTGTAGCTGTCAGCGCCTGTGTTTGCATCCGTATGCGTAAAATGTAATGCAGGTGAACAAGTGTGCAGCGTGTAGGTTTTGTGTGTGTAGCTGATACAAGCTACCTGCCTTTGTTTTATTAATGAGATACCCAGGATTTGAAGTGCTTATGCCTTGTGTCTGTGACAGTGTTTTTCTTTAAATTAAATTGGACTCTTTAAAGAATTATTCCCGAAGCCTTACTGCCTATAAAACCAGAAGAATTTATATAACTCCTGGCAGTTACCTGGGTGACATGGTGGAATGAAAAACACATAGCTTGGATGTTGTGTGCTGCTTCTCCCAAGTGCAATATAAATGCTTTCCTTTCAAAGTTCCCCCTTGTCAGTGATTTCTCTGAGGACAAAGCAGCAACCCTCCCATCCCCAAGTCTCTCTAAGCATTTTCCAGCTGGTTGTGAGTTAGCAAAAGTCCACCAAACTTTGTTCAGTTTGTTTGGTAGGTTTTGAATTGTTCAGTCAGTCTGAGAACTTGTTGGCAATCTTAGCAAAAATCCAGTAGTATGTGTGAAAAGTGATTTCTGCTTAGCTACGATGTACAGGAGAGGCTTTCACAATATCCTTTTAGTAAGGATTTTTTTTCCTCAGTCTGTACTCTTAAGAATATGAACTGTAGTAATCAATGTTTTGCTTATGTTCAGTTCTGGATACAGCAGGACAGGAAGAATTTGGAGCCATGCGTGAACAGTACATGAGGACAGGGGAGGGTTTTCTGCTTGTCTTCTCAGTCACTGACAGAGGAAGGTAAGCCTGATGTAAATTTATTGTTGTAATTAGTCTTAAACTGCTGCTTATCCTTTATTGAAATAATCTCAAACAGAAACATTAAGTGTATGTTCAGTTTTGGACTCTGTGGTGTGGTGCTCTTTCAGCACTGATGAAAACGCATTTATAAACCAATCACTTATTGAAAGTGTCTGTCTCTTGCAATAGATGACTTGAAAGCACACACAAAAAAAGGCATCTCTGTTTACGCATTTCATTACAGTCCAGAATATTAGTTTCCTGGAAATGACAGAAGTTTAAAATAAGGGCAACATGCTATGGTGTCTGATCAGTTCTTGAAAAATATCCCCTTGCTGTGTGCTCGTCAGAGTGGCTGGTTCTGGCTTTCTGAACGGGTGTATCCGGTTCACGGTATGTCTCTGCATTCTTTTGCAGGCAGTGTTCACTGTACTTACTCCCATGAATTGACTGGAACCTGCATAGCTGATTGACCGCAGGGTTGAGATGAAACATATCTTTTTAGAAGCTCACAGACCTTGGTCAGGTAGCTTCTGATCATTGTATGAGTAGGAAACTGCCATATATATACAGACAATTGCTTAATATTTTGGCTGTGATCTTCCTCCACTGAGCTTATCAGATATGTAGTAATAAAGGAGAATTGCTCAGGGATCTGTACTTCCACTTGTTTTGAGTTGCAACAGAAGAGCAATAAAATGACAACAAAATTGTATCTGATTTTCCCCCCTTACAGGTTGAATCTAGGTTCTAATAAGTTAGTTCTAATCTTATTAACAGCTCTATAATGACAATTAAGATAAATATTCTATGGAGTGTAAGTGTGTTTCCATTGAATCTGTACTTTACACTTAAGCACTTAGGAATGCTGCTAAATTTATAAATTCATCTTGATGTACTGTCCAGAAGAGACTCTTAAAGGTATGGCAGAGATCTGGGTCTGTGGATTTAAGACATACCAAACACTTATATTAACATAAATATTTTTGCTACAGAGGACTGTAGACTCTTTTTTGAAGTAATCATGTGAACTTTGTCTAAAAATCTTAAGTTTTTGTTTTCCCTTCTGGCTAAGGGTCTGCCTTCATTTTAAGCAGATCTTGACACATTAAACCTGCATATCGCTCTCTTCTCTGAAGTCTTTCAAAGACTACTGAAGAGCGG